ATGACCCAAAGCAAGGTGTCACGCAGAAGAGATGATTCTGGATGGATTTCACGTGGCACTGCCTTCGACTCATTCCCCCAAAGCAAGGTGTCACGCAGAAGAGATGATTCTGAGGGTATACACTGGATGGATTTCACGTGGTACTGCCTTCGACTCATTCAACATGCATTGTTCAAACTAGAACTAAGGAATAGTTTGAGGTTAATCTAAGGAATGATGGGGTGGTGTAAAGATGAACTGCTTCTGTCATTTGGTTTATATTTGCTGTGCCCCTGGATCATGAGGTATATATTCCAGCAAATGGAATCGAACACAGGCTAAAGGACCACCACCCAGAGATTTAACAGCAAGAGGTCTGGCAAATGTTGGGGGAGAAGATTCTCTAAGCCGTAGGTCCCTGTCACAGGGTCAGGGCACAGGTTCAGAAGTCTGGATATGAGTCTATTCCACAGTCAGCTCATACACATCAAGCAAGACTGAGGTTACATTCTAAGACCACTTTCCTACTCTTAGACGTAATTATCTAGGGAGATATCTTATCCTTGTGAGGAAATCAGGGAAGAATTCTTAAAGGAAGTGCCATTCCAAGAGGACCTCGAATGTATGGGTCGATTTCAAAGATGACGATGCCAGTGGAGATGGAACAGGGAGTGAGCGGTCATTGTCCAGCCACACGCCATGACTCGCTCCATTTGGTGTAGGGTACAGGGTTACACGGAGGACGAAATAGGAGAAAAGCCCTGTTCTGCCTCTAACAGGACAAAGCACCCAAGTCCCCACCCCTCTCTGCCCTACGTCGCAGTGCCTCAGAGTCAAAGCGCCTTCGCCCTTCTCTCCATCCAAGGTCGTTTGCACGTTGGTGCGCTTAGCAGGCTGGTGTACTTCTCCGTGACAGGAGGATGTCCTCTGTTCTGACGAGAGAGGGAGGGGACCAGACACCTCAGTGTTAGTCATTCTCTCTGTCCTGTCTACTTCGGTCACTGCTACCCACATACGGCCATGGAAAGGTGAATTACTTAAAATTAAAAAGAAAAAAGAGCAATTTCTCAGTACCCATGTTTCAGATTTTCGGCAGGCACGTGGCTGCTGTCTGGGCAACGTGCAGATGCGGGGCATCGTCATGGCCACAGACGTTCCCCAGGATGTCGTTCTACCTAGTGTACTTATGTGTGAGAAGCGTGACTTCACATCAGTTGTGTTTCTGCTGTTTTATCGTCTGCTCATAATGAACCCTCTTTTACCTACATATAAACTATGCTGAATCTCACCGTCTCCCTGCCACCAGAAAATAAATTACTCAGGCAATTAAACCCTCGATTCTCTGTGACAGCCAGTGATGAAAACTTCTGAGGTCAATGAGAAGTTTTCATCAGAATCAGAATGATTTTTCTTATGTATCCATTTGTTTTATTAAAACAGGGTCTTCAGGCCTTAAACTCATTATTTAAAAAGAAAAACGGAAACTACAAGATTATGCTGGCTCTTCCAAGAATTAAAGCAAATAACATTCTTTTTCCGCAGGGGCTTTCCTCGGTATGTTGTGAATATCGTTAATGCTTTTGTCAGTTTGTGGACCAAGAAAAGCGAATTAGGGACAAGAGGTGACTTGACTAAGGACCTTGTTAACTAGACAGAGTGGGAGAGAAAAACAAAAGATAACGACAGAATTGTGATGTGAGGGAAGGGAGAGGTCTTGAGGATGCTCTGAACAAACAGTGACTCACACTCTCAAAGGTTCTGAATACTAACTGTGCTTTTAACTTCTCTCAAGAGAAAAAGAAAAAAAGAACTTCGGAAGGAAACGAATATGCTTTACTTTGTGAAATCGTTACATTCGTAGACTAAGCCTCTCGGCTCAGGGTATGATAGTCATATTAGTTTGTTGGTGGATAGAGATTGTCAGCAGGCTCTTCAGAGGCATTTGATACAGCTGAGTTCATAAACATTAGCAGTTTGCCTTGCTGTAGATCAGGCCACACAGGGGGTTGAATCCTTCCTCCGGATTTTTTAAAAAAAATTTTTACCATTTTTTTTTTCTCCAGAGAAATACAGTTTCACAAAATTCTCAGTAAAAGGAAGGTTTCTGAGGTCAGACGAAGTTGGGATGTGCTATGCTCTGTATTTGCTGTCTTAAGAGTCTGTGAAGTTCTGCAGTGAGAGGACTTGGCTTAACTTAGCATCACCTGTGACTAAAGAATCTTCCATATTTTGACTAAAAAATCCCCAAAATTTTGGCTTGATTCCTTTTAACAGCTGGCAAATGACTGCACTGTCCTTAAAGAACTGATTAGTCTATGAAGAGAACTATGGAAATAATCAAATCGTTCAAAAAGTTCTTTGGTTTAATTTGGGGGAAAAAATGTCATTTTTTTTTTTTTAGGATGTTCCAGGATTTAGGGATGAGTACTGTGATATCTACAACTTAATTACCAATGATTCAATGCAAAAATTATTTATGTGGAGTATATGTGTATATTTATTTGTGTATGAGAGGGTATACTAAATTATGCAAAATATTCCCAAATGGTGAATTATAGTGAAATATATAATTTGAAAAAAAAATTTTTTTGAAATATTTCTCTAGTTTTGAAAACTTATTATAATAGGAAGAGGGAGCTCTATGAACACAACCACAAGTTCCCTTGACTATTTTGGGCGGAAAGGTCAGAATAGGAGAAAAAAAAGATTTTAAGATCCAAACAGAAGTAAGAGGGTGAAGAGTCATGTTTTTGACTGGAGACAACTATACCTGGAGAAGAGTTTTCCAGTCACCCATAGACGGCCTCGCCGTCCCCCTGGGAATTATGGTCCCACATCCGAGGGTCTGTACCTCAGACCTTCAGTCAGGCCGATGGGGACACGGCCAGATTCTCAGGGTGTTGTGTGTTCTCTTCCCCGCCCCGTGCACTCGGATCTCGGCGTGACACAGAGAAGCTGCCAACTTTCAGGGATGCTACGGAGCCCAACAGGTGGGGATGCCACCCTGGGAAGAGGATCTCAAGATGCACCGGAAGCGCCGACTGCTGGACCACGTGGAGCCAATAGCTTGAAACTTGCCGTAGCTGGGACCGGCCCGACCTTGGTCTCTCCCAGCCTGGCTAGCGGCTGGCTCTGAGAAGCGCCGTGTAATAGATAGCATGCCATCCTGTGTGCTTGCTGGGCACAGCACCGGCATGCAGCATCCTCTGACCAGCTTCTCAAGGACCTCAGTGAAGGTCGAAGCCCACAGAGGTAGAAGGGTTCCCCAGTCTCCAGAGTCTCCACGGTACATCATTAGTTGAAACAATACTGCAGACATTGCCAGTGCCTTAAGGGAGAGAAGTCCTTTTGTTGCCTGCGGTTTCCTGAGATGCTCAGGTTACTTTTGGAAAACTGTTGCGAATACGTTCTTTCGACAGTGTTAGAGTCTTTGCAGCCTCGCTCCTCCTCGTAAGCCTTCTCCTACTCCCTTTTGTTCCTCGTTTTCTTATTGTTTAACCTTCACAGTTATAAAAATTGCGAAATCGATTTGGTTCATATTGCTGATAAAGATTTTCACAATAAAAGCTCCTGCCTCCTTCACCAAGCTCACCTTGCTGCACAGCTCATTACTATTTCTTTAACTTTAATAGACAGATGTTGTATCAGCTGCATTTATGATATACGTAAAACCTTAAGAATATATGTTATGTAATTATTATATTGCTAATAACAATGTGACATTCGTAGCGTCAGAAAACCATAGTTTCTTATTAATACAAAGATATATCTACCTTTTCACACTGGAAGCCAAATATCCATCTCTGGAGACTAATGATTATAAAATAGATCATCAGTAAATGATAAAAATATGAAACTTGACGTCTTTATCATGCTTTACATTTCACTAAGTACTGTCGCCCATAATATTAGTAATGATGGCTAAACAAGCAACAATTCAATAAGTCCACAGAGGTTCTTTTTGTAAATTAGACCTGCATGAGACTTTAGGATCTCTTTGTTTTCTCATTATATTTGTACTTATTATTTTTAACGCACCATATGCGTTTGGGAAGCTGAAGGTTTTCACTCATAATGATCAAAAATAGTATTATTTCTGAGTTCTCTTGATGATAATAGTAAACTTTTGAACAAAATTTTATGCCAAGATCTCATATAATTCCCACCCAGCAGGAGAAGTTAAGGATTAAAAGAAGTATTTAGCAATTTTAGAAATTTAGACATTTAGAAAGTCATTTATTTTACTGGTAAGTGCTTCTGCATAAAGTTAGTTCTCTGCAGACGTGAAAGTGTGAAACCATTTAGAAAGATTCCCCTCATTTATGGAATAATACTATCCCGTTTGGTGACATTCGACAGAAATGATCAGAGATATTTAATGATAATATTTAATTGTAAATTGTTTTTTTCTTTTATTTTTACTCAGCTTTTACTTTTGAAAATGTGTTATTCGAATGGCATTTGTTTAGGCAGAGAACACAAACGAAATGCAAAGCACCATTTCTGCACACGCGTCTGTTGAGGCTCTCATCCTCTTGTGTGTATGACCAGGTGTTGCAAAGTCTTTGTTAGAAACCCAGAGACTGAACGATGTCATTCATGTCATTAGATGTGGGCTAGCATGTACCTGCATAAGATTTTAAGAGGAAAAATCTGGAGCCTTCAAAACTGTACAGAAGCATGAATTAGAATTCAGGAGCACTGGTTTCTAAATTTCCATCCTTTTTAAAAACTTCAGCAGCAAAGGGTGCGTTTAATTTCCCAGCGTTACAAACACACTCGCTACCTTTCTTGACTACAGATTGCTTTCTTTGCTGAGTAAGTCATAGGGCTGTTGGCAAGAAGAACAAACGTTCCCTCTTTTGAGCATAAAACTACATTTTCTAAATTAAAATGTTGTATACTCGTTGGAATCTTTATCCCATTAATGTTTCAAGATGCTCCTGAGAAGTCAGTTCTAAAACTTGTCTCAGTTTGGATTCGGCATTGATTGGCTACTTTCTCTGCTCTTTTATTCCCAGCAGGTAGACCAACCTACAACAGCTTTTACGTCTATTGCAAAGGCCCCTGTCAAACAGTGCAGCCAGGAAAGCTCAGGGTGCGGTGTGGCACCTGCCGACAAGCAACGCTCACCTTGGCTCAGGTAAGGCCTTGCGTCGGCAGGGACGGCCCAGACAAATGCTCGTGCATATCCAGAGTGGCCTGTGGAGTTTCTAATCAGGTATCACCTGTGTTTCTCACACAGACATTCTTCTATGTGGTCGTCACGGTTAATGGTGTCTGACATTTCATTCGAAAATGTCCTACTCTGTAAAAGTTTAGGTGGCCCCGGGCCATTGCCCCATTTCTTTAGTGCAGGCCTACTGAGAGGACGAGAGAGCCTGCTTCTGTGACTCAAAGATTTTAGACTTCCAGAAGCAGCCACGAAGAGGCTTTCTCAGCTGTCAGAAGCGCAGCGGATCTGAATCTGCGTGGTGGTAACAAGTTTGTATCTATACGACGAACGTCCCTGGACTGTTCCCCTAAGATTGGTGCCCTTTAGGTGGCTAAATGTGTTATTCCTCAGTAAAAAGGTGGAAAGGAAGCCGTGGGTCAATGAACAGTTTGAAACGGAACGGCAAACTGCCATCTGCTGTGGCCTCGGCTCGTTTCTGTGCAGTCCACCAGCCAAGGGTGTTTTGTAATGGCTTTTAAGTGTTTGGGAAACGTTAGAAGAATAATATTGTGTGACCCATGAACATCATATGTAAGTTTGAAATTCCAGTACCATCACCAAGTGCGACTGGAACGCGGCCCCAGCCTTCTCTGTGCCTGTCGTCTGTGCCCCAGGACGAGGCTGAGCAGTTGGGACGCAGGTGGGATGGCCTGCAGAACGTGACATATTGACTGTTTAGAGAAAAGGTTTACTGACCCCGATATAAAAAATAGACTCAGCTAGCTCACAGCTGTAACGTAACGGTTGTCTAGGATGTGGCTGAGTTTGACGTGGGCGAGAACGTGCACGTAGGGACGTGGAGTTCATTCTGGTCAGCACGACCAAGGAGACACAAAAGGACAAAGAGCTTTGTAGGGGAGCGAGGCCCCAAGTGTAGGCGAGTACCCCGTTACCACATCAGGCCCCAGCGATGGCTGGAGAATTTGGATTTTGTTTTGCAGGCGATGGGGGACCAAGGCAATATGTCAAACACAGGGGCGATGCATGAAATGATGTTTAGAACTATTTATTAGTTCTGTAAAAATGTGTCATTGAGATTGAAGTTGGTGACAGTTTGAAGGCAGAGGTTAATTAATAAACTATTTATACACATCAGAGGACCTAAATTAGGCCGGTGGTCCATAGAATGGATATAATGGAGCACTGTGAAATATTTCACGGTGATACCGCATTTCAGCTGCACAGGCAGATCCACGCAGGAAGACAGATCTGGGACTGGTGCCTAGGTTTGTCCCGACCCACCAGAGTGGACCTTTTTCTGGGGATGTCACTGGACTGCTGTCCTAAAGTCCCACAGGACGTTTTCCTCCACTTGAGTCTGTCCTCTGCCACTCGCCTTTCCAGTGCAGTGAGCGGCCCCTCCCACTCTTCTGCCCCGATTGCTTCAGATGGCGCATGTGACCCGTTTATAGTTTTAGCCTGCAATTGTTCCTCATCGG